AAGCTGATGTAGGCAGAAAGTTAAGCCATATATAAGCAGAATTCTCCACTGCCTATATCTGGCTTTGATGGGTCTTCTCCTTCTGAAGGGGCACAACAATTTCTGTAGAAGAGCAGTTCTTCACACTAATTAATATCCCTCTTCTGTATGGCAGTTAACACAATGACAAAGAATCATTGCAATGCAACCACTCAAATACTACATTACAACATGAAATAGATATTACAAGTAAGATTAAAGCATGCAGCAACTCACAAGCATTCAACAGAATTAAAGTGACCTTAACTGATTGGAAAATCTGACTCTCAAGAGCAGAATTTGAATGATTCAGCTGAACCAACAGATCTAACTTCAGTAAGATTGCACACATCTAACTGATAGCTAAATTTGGCCTTATGTATTTAAAGTTTATCTTAATCTAGCAGTAACTTTTAATGTCTTCGAATTTGTACATTTTCCATCCAACACTTACAATAATTCTTAGCAATGCTGGATGTGATATTCAAAAGAACTCATCATTATTTTAACTACTTTAACTAGATGATCATAATGGTCCCTTCTGACCTTAAAGTCTATGAGTCTATGAGTCTATTATTTTAACTACTTCCCACAAAATCAGTGAATTTTACAACATTGACTCCAATGGGAGAATCTTGGTCCAACTCTGAGTTCTTTTGAAAAATCCCATCCATTGGGTTTTATATGTATTTAATTTAATATAATGAAGGGTTCAAACCTCAGTCACGGACCAACAAGGTGTATTAGAAGCTAAAAGTTAGACAGTGAGGATATATCTACACTGCACCCTTAGCTCAAGATAAACTATGCAATCTGAGCTATGCAAATTGCATAGATTATTTCAAGTGTATTTCAAAATAGCTTATTTTGTAATTTATACAAACCGCTATTCCGAAATGTCACTTAATCCTCGTGGAACAAGCTTTATGGGGACGTCAGAATAGTGCGCTCCTTATTTCAAAAGATATTTCAAATATCTGGGAAGAGCAGGAGCGGGGGTGCAGAAGATTTGGGTTATGGGTACAGGAGGGGGCAGAGGGTTGGGGAAGAGGGGAGCTGTGGTGCCAGACACAAGCCCTGTCTGGGAAGTGCTTTCCTAGGCAGCTCCCGGCCAGCAGCCCAGCAGGTTCTTTAGCTAGGCTCCCTGCCTTCCTTGCCACCTCACACCTCTCAAGCTGCCACGTGCTACTTTGAATGCTGTGAACATAGAGGGACGGGGAGAGATGTAGTTCGTGTGCTGCCTGTCCTGCAAACAGGAGGCTCCCATTGGCCTGTTTCCAGCCAATAGGAACTGTGAGATTGTGCTGGGGGCAGGGGCAGCATGTAAAGCCTTCCCTCTCTCCCCCAGCCCCACAGGGTTCAAAGAAACACATGACCATCACAGTGGCTTCTCTGAGAAGCTTGTGGGAGTAGGACAGGCTGGGCTGTGTTTTGCTCACCCCTACTCTAGATGTTCCTAAACCTCTGACAGCTGGAACTGGATGACAGGGAACAGAGCACTCCATAAATTTCCCTGGTTTTGTACACTTCCTTCAAAGAACTGGCAGTGACCACTATCAGAAGACCAGATACCGGGCTAGATGGACAACTGGTGAGCTCTTATGGTTGTTCTTATGCATTTACTTATGAAAGTTTAGTCCCAATCCAGCAAACTGCTGAAACATGGATTCAACTTTCAATTGGATGAGAATTGGAAAAAGTATGGGCTAAATTTAAGCAAATACTTACATGTTTTCTAAATCAGAAGTTTTGAGATATTAGATGGGTAATGAGTAGAATTTGGTGTACCTACTCACCACCCACAGTTACTTGTGCACTAGTAAAGAAAACCCATGCCAGAGACAGTGGAGCTGGGAAAGAAACAAGGGAAATCAGAGGAATAAATAAGCTGAATGAACAGCCTGATATACATTATAGAATAAAAAATGTTATTGTCTAAAAATGATCTGAAAAGTCCAATAACAGGATGTGATTGACCGCTGCATTGCATTGATTTTACACTGGCAGCATGCCAATTAAATCAATTAACAGTCACACCCCTCTAAATCTGGTGTGACAGAATGGCAAAACAGGCCCAGTGCCACTAAACTCTTCAAGATAGCTTGTGTGAGTGCCCTGTCCACTGCTCACTTTTTCCTGGTACAGTTATTTAACATGCCAATGAGGAACACACTGCTGATATTGTCTGTTGAACAATGGCAGTTCCAGATATTCCCTGGTAGTCACGAGAATGCAAAGGACTGAACCACGCTCGCAATGTGAACTTTGTTTTTGGCTATAATCATACATTTCTGTAAATGGCTTCTCTCCTGCAACCTGAGACCCTTTGGTTTTACACTATGTTCAAATGCAAGTCCCTCAGATTACACACAGGAGCTTTGCATATGCTTATTTATAGCCCAGCAGATGGGTTTGATCTCATAAACAAACCACTCCCTGTTACCAAGTTACAGATACCTTCTAATTTTTTTCCTTTCCTAGTGAATACCCTCTGTCCTAGCTCTGCCTATCTTCTCATCTGAATCCAGTGCAGTTAAAATGATTGTCTCCAATTTTCCACCACTCCAGTCATAGTTAAGGGGCTTTAACATAGATGAAGCTGAAATAAATACCCATCTCAAGACTCCCCTTTTTCCTGGTTGCAATAGTATAAAGGAGGCATTAGTACAAATGTGAAACAGGCACATTGGCTTATGGAGCTACACCAATTCATACAAGTTGAGGATCTGACCCACTTTGATCTGTTAAACCCAACATGCAAGGTTAAATACCCAGGAAAATGCATACATTAAAAAGCTGACTATTTTACCATAAAGGAGAAGAGCTACTGTTTCCAAGAGACATACGGTGCTATAGCAACACAGTTTTGATTAAAGATTGACTAGCAAGACCTAAAGAAAAGACAGATGTTTAGTTTGGAAAAAAGAAGATTAAGGGGGGACATGATAGTGGTTTTCAAATATCTAAAAGGGTGTCACAAGGAGGAAGGAGAAAATTTGTTCCTCTTGGTTTCTGAGGACAGGACAAGGAGTAATGGGCTTAAAGTGCAGCAAGGGAGGTTTAGATTGGACATTAGGAAAAAATTCCTGTCAGGGTGGTCAAATATTGGAATAAATTGCCAAGGGAGGTGGTGGAATCTCCCTCTCTGGAGATATTTAAGAACAGGTTAGATAGACATCTGTCAGGGATGGTGTAGACGGAGCTTGGTCCTGCCTTGAGGGCGGGGGTTGGACTCGATGACCTCTCGAGGTCCCTTCCAGTCCTATGATTCTATGATTCTATGATCCTGTATTTTTCACACCTGAGGTTCAGGTTGCAAGCTCACTGCCTTGACTTTGATTGTAACCTGGCTAAGGACAAAGAA